CCCACAAAATGTTGTGTGTGTAAGAAACTTTTTTGTGTCATGTGACATGATAGATGCAAACCCCTATATATATATATATATGGGCTTAACGTTTCTCAAGCTGCTCGAGATAATTTTATCTCCGGCTACTAAATCATAACCGTACAAAGATGGATCAATAGTAATAAAGGAAGAGAGAGAAAAAGAAAATCATGATCAATCAAAGGTGAATCAATTAATATAAATAAATAAAACGACGTAGTTTTGGGATAGCCAGAGATAAACTTATCCCAAGTTGTGAGAGAAATATTTTTTTCTATATATATATATATATATATATGAGTATTATATTTTTCATATTACATTAGAGAGAAATCCTCTCATATACACACAAAATACAATGTACGTCCCAATTTGTATTTTTCTCTCTCTTCTATTTAGTAGGATCCACATTGCATTTTGTGTGTGTGTGTGTGTGTCTATATATATATATATATATATATATATATATATATATATATATATATATAGCTTATCGTTTCTCAAGCTGCTTGAGATAATCTTATCTTCGGCTAGTAAATTATAACTGTACAAAGATGGATCAATGGTGATAAAGGAAGGCAGAGAAAAATAAATTAATATAATAAAATATAAGAAAATAAATAAATAAATAAAAGGGGAATCATAACCTTTCAAAGGTGAATCAATTAATATAAGAAAATAAATAAATAAAACGATGTAGTTTTGGGGTAGACGGAGATAAATTTATCTCAAGCTGCTTGAGAAATATTGTTCCCATATATATATATATGGGTTCATTTAATATTATGTTGCATGAGAGATCTTCTCTTATGTTATAGACACACATGTGAGGGGCCCGCCATTTAAAGAAAAAAAAAAGTGTCACAATTTTTGATGGGTGTGTAGTAGATAAAACTACTCTTATGTTGCATAAGAGTAGTTTTCCCTATAATATAATATATATATATATATATATATATATATATATATGGGTTTGATGTTTGTCATTTTAAATGACATAAGTTATGTCATTTTAGGAGAGAGATAGACACAAAAAATGAAAGTCATGGGAGAGAGAATGTGGCTGGGTTTTTTTAATTTAAATTTTAAATAAAAAATTTATTTTGTGTATATCTATATCCTAAAATGACATAACTTTATGTCATTTAAAATGACAAACACTTTTTCCTATATATATATATATATATATATATATATATATATGGTAAAATCATTTCTGCAGTCGCTTTACGTACAGCAATAACAGATATATGGTTATAATTTTCCACATTTAATATTTTTATACCACGCATTTAATACTTTCACGTATATATATGGAAAGTATTTGATTGCATATATATATATATATGGGGCAGGATCATCTTACCCCGGTGTAAGAATAACAAGTCTTACACCAAATCTTAACCATTGATTTTCTGCATCTAACAGTTAAGATTTATTAAGTTTCACTCATTAATAGTTATTATTTCCGCAAATTAATAGTTATTATTTATTGAGATTTAATAATTCATTAATAAATTTGATTTTCAATAAATAATAATCGTTGATTGATGGAAATGAACGGTTATAATTTAGTGTCAAATTTTAAAATTTGATACTGATATTAAAATATCATATCTCATATATATATATATATATGCCTTGGTTTCCTCCGTGAAGGAATTTTTTTCTGCTAAGAAACAAACAAGTTAAATAATATTAAAGAAATTGAAAAAGATACTTTATTCAAGTTTTGTCGCCAGTGGTTGCAGGATGACAATCTTCTTCCTGCAACGTAATACTTATTTATCCCTTATATATATATATAGGGATAGGATCAACTTATATCGGTGTAAGAATAATAAATTTTACATTAAATCTTAACCGTCGCTTTTTGTGCATCTAACGATTGAAATTTATTGAAAATTAAAAATTAATTAATGAGTGAGACCTAAAAAATCTTAACCGTTAGATGCAGAAAATCAATGATTAAGATTTGGTGTAAGATTTGTTATTCTTACACCGGTGCAAGATGATCATGCCCCGTATATGTGTGTATATATATATATATATATATATATATATATATATATATATATATATATATTCTAACCGTTGTTTTCGTCTTTAAAATTAACTCTAATCAATTGATTCACTTCATTTCAAACCTAAAAATTGAAGGTATATTGAACTAATATGTGATGTAAAAATAAATATTAGAAGGAATTCAAAGAGTGTATGAAATAAGAAGACGCAAGCTCTCAACGTAATTTTAAACCTCTTCTGCTATCGTACACTGCATCATCTTCATCAAGTATGTCTACCTCTCAATCTTCACATTTTTTTTTTTTTTTTGTTGATCATACATCATATCTATCCCTCAATCTTCACATTCGTTTTAACTTCTTCATCTTTGTGCTTTCCCCGCTGAAATAGGCTCAAAGACGTTGTCTCATGACCCGCCATGCAGCGACGGCGGAGCATGAAATTTTAGTGCTTCTTGTTGGAGTTATCCGCTTATCATCTTATGTATTTTTTTTTTTTTCTCTCTTTTCCTCTTTTTTCTCTTATCTTTATTTTATTTTTCTAATCACTATTCTTTCTTTTATCCTCTTATCTCTATATTCTCTTATTTCTATTTTTTTTCTCTCGTCCCTTTGGTGGATTTGTCTGCTTATCGCCTTATGTATTTTTTTCTCTTATTTTTTTCTTTTATTCTCTTATGATCTTATCTCTATATTCTCTATTATCCACTTATTTCTATTTTTTTTCTCTTTTCCTCTTGATGGTGTTGTCTTATGTATTTGTTCTCTCTCTTCCTCTTATTTGTCTTATCTCTGTTTTGTTTTCCTAATCTCTATTTTTTCTTTTATCCTCTTATCTCCATATTATCTATTTATCCACTTGTTTCTATTTTTTTCTCTTGTCCTCTTAATTGCGTTATCCATTTATCGTTCTCTTAATTGCGTTATCCATTTATCGTTTAATTGCGTTATCCATTTTTCTTTTATCCTCTCTCTCTCTCTCTCTCTCTCTCTCTCTCTTAATTGCGTTATCCATTTATCGTTTAATTGCGTTATCCATTTTTCTTTTATCCTCTCTCTCTCTCTCCCTCTCTCTCTATTTTTTTTTCCTGATATCTATTTTTTTTTCCCTCGTCTGTATATTCTTTAATATCCTCTTATTTCTATTTTTTATCTTGTCGTCTTATCTTAATTCTAAAGAAGTTTTAAATACGTAATATAAAACTAAATTAATGTGATAAACCCCTTACATGAAATCTAAAATGCATATCCATTTGTTTTTTATTTTCCACAATTTCATAATAACTTTTAAGCTTTTAACTTTAATAATTCATTTTTTTCAGTATTTTCTTCTTCACAAATCATATCATACCAAATCGTAAAGCACACTTTCAGAACTCAAATTCAGAGAAAAATAACATGATCTTACGTGTATGTTAATGGCAGGTCCCATGACGAATTCCTTCCGCCAGTTTCCGCGGGGAAAGCATGGGAGAACAAAAGGAGCAAAATGAGGAAGAAGTTGAAACGAATGTGAAGGCGAACGGCAGACGTAGTTGACAAGGACGATATGCATATGATAACAAATGTTAAAATTTACGAAGAGAGTTTACATCTAGATACAGGGACAGGCTTGCTTTACCTCACTCGTTTCTTCAGTTCAATCTTAACTAGTTTCAAATTTTATATATTTTTACAGTTCCTTCCGATATTTACTTAACTTTCTACGATCAAATTTTATTAGTTCAGTATCATAATCTTCAATTTGTTGAGTCTCAAACTAAATTGTAATTGTACATCTTCATTTGCTCTTTCATCTATTTATCGAAAGTTCGCGGCGAACGGGGAATAAAGAAACTAGTTTTTGCTTAATACAAAAATATATAAAAATTTCACAAGATTTCTCCCCCTAGCAAAAAAAAACAATATCCAAAGCTTCAACTCCAACTGCAATTAGATATTAAAATGCAATGCTAGTAAACAGTTCAATGTTTACTTCACTTATCTCACTAGTTATTTTAATGCACTTTGTTACTTTCATTTAGATAAAATAAAATAAAACCTCTCATGTTAATTATCATTGCCATATCATGCGAGATAATAACCATTCACGACTAAATTAACAATAATGATTTTAATCACTCCATAACATTGTCATATTAAATAACTCAAGAAATTCCCAACCTCCTTAGTAAAGTAATACGAAAGAAATACCAATATAGATTCCTTAGCCAACAAATTTCTCAATTTATTATAAAATTTGAATTTTTAATTAAAAAACAAATAGTCCCTAAAATGAAAGAAAAAGAATATTAGTATTAGAATTAGCACGTCGACTTTTTATTTTGTAATTGATAATATAATAGTCAGAACAGATGTTCTTTACCACAATGAAGGCTTCCACAATGATTACGATTAATCACTTCTACGATTCAAGCACGATAGATGACTGATCAGACAATATTAGACTACCCTTCCCAAGTTCTTCCATCTCACTTAATCCAAATTACATCGCCTATAACGTAACATTCCGAAAACCATTGATTGACCGCTTATAGCACAGCTCTTGAAAATTCTGAGGTGATACTTACATTCTTACGCCTAGATATCATCTATTAGCATTTGCAACTATTATTCGGAGAAAAACTTTTTAGGAACTCTTCAACATTAAGGGGGTGATTTAAATGCAAAAGCAATCTTGCAATAGCATGTTTTTCCGTATAGAAAAGGAAATCATTTCTCATTCGTAATTTGGCACTTCTCTCGGATTATGTATCAAACACCTAACTGCAAGGCATTGGTTTTATATCTCCTGAAGATCTATAAAGACTCTTTCTGGGTCCACACACAAAGTAATCAATCAATAGATAAGAGGGTTTCATTCTTCAATCCCACCACATAAAGCATTTATATTAATCCAAAATTCAAATCACACTAAGAGATAGTCACTGCAAATTCTAGGCGAAACAGACAACGAGAGAATCAGAAATGAAATATATAAAAGCTTCTAGAGTCGCATAGGAACATCATTGTTTAAAGCTAATATAAGATAAGATGAACAGAACACTTATCAAAACATCAAAAAGGAGAGACCAGTACTGTTAACTAACTGGGTGTCCCATTTGACAACATAATCAACTGGAAAAAAACTAAGATCAATTGTTGGAGAGAAAAAAGAACGCACTACTTGGATCTCTGTCTCATCTTTCGGCGCTTCCTCTTCAGCCTCCTCATACGCTTCTTCTTCCACTGCAAAAACCAGAGTTCAAATCAGATCTAAAACTTATAACAAAAACAAAATAGGTGAACAAATTAGTGAAACAACAGAAACGAATGGAGCTTACCTTGGCTCTCATGGTGAACCGAACCCTGCACCCTCCCTTGATTCAGAACCCTAGTCGACGGCTGCTGAGACGTAACAGGAAACAGGAAAATTAAGGACTGAAGGTTGCAACTACTTATAGCCACGAAACCCTAGCAAATAACGAGCAAGTATTGGGCTTTAACAATAAGGATGGCCCATTATTTCATATGTTACGAGCCCAATTCCCGGCTCTGGGACGATCTTGATGCACCTGCGCAACATACTAGACTTGCTCCCCACATATTTATCAAATAGTTAGGATCCATTTGAATGAGCTTATAAAAAAAGTGTTTTGTATATGGTTGTTATTTTAAAGGGATATATATTTTTTGTTTTAAGCAAAAAATTACCTTATGTTGTAGAAATAAAAATATAAGTGGGACCCACAGGTAAGAGGGGAGAGAAAAAAAAGTGGTGGGACCCAACTTTTTTGTGTGTAGAAAAATTATTTATCTCATGTAAAATAAGATAAACATAATCTTATTTTAAAAATGTTTTTTATAAAAGTTAAACTATTTAGATTTTTGAAAAAAATTGAGTTTTTAAAAAAAATATTTGACTTTTAATTTCTTCTTTTTTAAAAGATAAAAGTTTAACTTCCAAAAAAAGCAAGTTTTAAATTTTTTTTGTGATTTTTAATTTTTTTTTAAAAGCATATATTCAAACGGACTTTTTGATAGATGTGCGCTTTTGGCTGAAAAAGCTAATGCTAATGGCCCTTAGTTTGTGTGTTAGTGGTGATACCGATACGATTAGAAATATGGATCATTGATCAAAATGTCACTGTTTACTAAATTTTTTACCTAAATATTATGCGAACAATGTTATTTTCCATCTGTCACGAGGGCAAGTTCGTTACCCGGTGTAACGAACTCGGTTTGCTGACGTTTCACGTTTCTAGTGGATACCAGGTTCGTTACACAGGGTAGAAAATTTGGTTTTAACCAAGTTCGCTACCCAATGTAGCGAACTTCATACTTTTTTTTTGTTAACTTGATACTTGCTACCACTAGAAATGTGACACGTCAGCAAACCGAGTTCGCTACACCGGGTAGCGAACTTGCCTCCGTGGCAGATTGGAAAATAACATTGTTCGCGTGGTATTTAGGTAAAAAACTTGATGAACAGTGATATTTTAGTCGGTGTTCCTAGAAACATTATATAATTTCAAGCTTTTTGTTTTCTAGAAAAATGTTTCCCACAAGAAACAAAGTTATTTTCCACAATCACGTAGCTTTGTGATTGTAAAGAAAATTAATAAAGGATATTTTGATAATTTTATATTATTTTGCTGTATAAATTTTAACAAAGCACCCTTAATTAATTTTTCCAACTCTTGAAACGAAGAGATAATTTATCTAATGTTACTGGAAAAACGATAAACCCTTTTTTTATGTTGTAAAATATGTTATTATAATATTGCTTTGTAATTAAATCATCTCCTTAATTTTAAAGAAATCTTAAATATAGTTTTTCATTAGAATGTAAGTACTACAATGGAACATGCCCCATCGGAAATTATCAGAACTGGCTAGAATGAATTATTTTCAAAAGGACCTATGTTGTTATGACTTATGAGTATTCGTTGTAGAACTAGAAACCTTCATCATTATAAAGAATATGTTCTGAGTATCATATTATCAACTACAAAAGAAAATTTCTACGGGCGAATTCTAATTCTAAGTAGCTATTTACTCTTGGATTTTGGGGAGTATTTGTTTGTTTGCTTTTTTAAATTAGAACATGTTTTTTTATAAATAAATTGGTAAATTTTATAAAAAATAAAATTCAAAAAATTAATGATTTTTATTTCGTAAGTTAAAAAGAGTAATTATAAAAATAACCTACAGATAAAAAGTATTTTAAAAAATATTCAATCGCATATAAGTCCAACATTAGAATTCCTGCGGAACACTAAAAAAAATATTACTACATGGAGTGTTTGGTATAAGTATTTTGATTGAAATGCGGTGAAAGTGGAGTGAAATTTTTTTTTATCATATTTGGTATGAGTAAACGTAAAAAAAAAATCCCAGGATATTTTTTCCCATCATTTCTATTTTTAACTACACATGGGAAAAAAATAATCTCATCTCACTAATGATATTATTTTTTTCTCACCAACTGAGAAACACATTTTCATATTTTGATTTAAAAATGTCTTTGTCATATTTTGATTTAAAAATGTCTTTGTTCAATATATCAGCATATGCGTAAAAATTGGTAATTTTGTCATTTCGATTCAAATTCTCATTAATATTTTATAATCAACCAAATATAGTATCAGTAAAATTAACTTAATTTTTTCGAAAAAAATTTGGCCTACCAAATATGTTTTTTGTAACTTATTCGCAAAAAAATATTCTACCATATTCCCATAAATCCTTTTTTTCTCTGTCAAACGCCCTTTAGTAATTTTGCCTTTTGCCCCTGATATTCTTAACGGTGACATTCTTGCATTGGCTCTGGCCGGCGATGAATTCAAAAAAAAATTTGAAAGGGAACAAAATTATTTATATATCTTTTTTTAAGGAGTAAATTTTTTTTGTTAAAATTAAAAAATCTTAAATTCAAATGACTAAGATCTTTGAAATCTAACACATCACTTCTTGACGGTACGCTTATTTTAAAATCATGAAAAAGTGAAATTGAGAATTCAATTTATCCACGTTTGACATGAGAACTGTAAAAATTTTCTGGAAAAGTTGAATTTCCGGGATTCATGTTTATAAAGAAAAGTTTTATCTTAAAATACCATTAAATAAGTGGTTTTCCATAAATATTTTAGACTACCAAACAACTTTGTGGCAACATTCTCGAAAAACTCATTTTTCCACAATATTCGTGGAATCATGATTCTCGTGTTAACAAAAAATATTTCCTCTATCAAACGCCCCCTAAAGATTATTGAGCAAACTTTGAAGGAGTCAAGATTTACACGTATACTATAGATGAATGGTAACTGCTGGAGTTTGTGAGGATTTGTATTTGTATTTCTTTTGGCTGGGTATATTAACACCTAGATTCTTCATTACTATTATATTACGGATCTCGAGGTCATCACCCCAAAAGTTAGCTCAAAATATGAAAGAGCTCTAGACCTTTTAAACCCACAATGATTGTTTATACAACACCCCTTTAAGGACCCACGTCGATGGCGGCTTTCACTCAATCAACACTGACGCGATGATAGTCTTTTCTTTTTTGGTGGCTTCACTCATATAGTCTTTTCCCTGCGATGATAGTCTTTTCCTTTTTGGTGGCTTCACTCATATATCAATATTCAGTACAACACCCCTTTGGGAGGTATGTCACCTTAATCCAACCTATAGATAGACCTTTCTGTGACCTTAACTCTCAATGAAAGCATCAATTGTTACACACCTTGAGGTCATCATCCCAAAAGCTAGCTCAAAGGGTGGAAGTGTTCAAGACCTTTTAACCACACATTAGTTGTATAGGCAATCAATGTGGTACTTGTAATTGTTACAGAACTTGAGGTCACCACCCCAAAAGCTAGCTCAAAGGATGAGAGTGTCCAAGGCCTTATAAACCTCTCATTAGTTGCCTATACAACCAATGTAGAACTCATAACATTGTCACTCCTTTAAGGGCCGACGTCTATGACGACTTTCACTTTATCGACACTGACACGATGGTAACCTTTTTTCTTTTGACGGCTTCACTCACCTATCAATATTCAGTTCACACCCCTTTGGAAGGTATGACACCTTAATCCAACCTATAGGTAAGCCATTTTAGTGGCCTTAACTATCAATGAAAGCACCAATTGTTACGAATCTTGAGGTCACCACCCCAAAAACTAGGTGAAATGGTGGGAGGGCCCAATGGCTTTTAAACCCCACATTAGTTGCCTATGAGACTTGTATTTGTTACGGACCTCGAGGTCACCACCTCAAAAGCTAGCTCAAAGAGTAAGAGTGTCCAAGGTCTTATAAACCTCTCATTAGTAGACTCGTAACATTGTCACTCCCTTTAAGGATTGTTATCCACGGCGGCTTTTCCTCTATCGACACTGGCATTATAAACCCCTAGGTAGGCTTTTCCGTGGCCTCAACTCTCGATGAAAGCAGCAATTGTTGTGGACCTTGAGGTCATTACCCCAAAAATTAGCTCAAAGGATGAGAGTGCCCAAGACCTTATAAACCCTTCATTAGTTGCTTATACAACTAATGTGGGACTGGTATGATATTTTTTTCATATATGGGTTAGTTCCGGAGAAAGGATTACCGCGATGAAATCTTGGAAGACTTGGTAGTACGGTACCACAAGTTTGTGGAAATCGTATGCATGCAAGCCGATATTCACCTTAACTTTCCCTCCCCGGTTGTGGGATTAAACATGATCTTTTGGACATCACCACTATACCTCACTTGCGAGATTCTCACTTGGATGCCTGACACCTAGGCTCGGCAAAAATGAGCCAATCCGTCGGTTGGCTCATAACTTGGCTAAAATGGGCCGGGTTGGGTTAGGAAAAATGAGTTAGTAACTCGAGTCAGCCCGACTCGTTTCAGCTCGAAAAAAATCGAGCCAACCAACGGGTCAAACGGGTTGGCTCGCGGGTTATAGCTTTTTTATAATATAAAAGTATAAAAATTAATGAAGGTAAAGTGGAAAGCTAAAACCTAAAATCTCAATTTCAAAGACCCAAATGAAAATACCATGCAGCTTCCAATAAGTCCAAAACCGTGCATTAATGACCTTTTTTTTATAGTATGTGTGACAGTGTGAATGTGGTGTCAACTACCAATAAGTCCAAGTTCAAATGCAAAAGGAATTTTCTATGGTTTATCTGAATAATGTCTTTGTATTGAATGAATTAATAATTTAGGAAAAAAATTTAGAAGTTATAGCATCAATGAAATCTTATTTTTTGTTCTATTTTTTCGAGCCAACCCGTGAACCAACCCTAACCCGACTCGGGTCGGGTTGAGTTTTCTGACTCATTTATTTTTCAAGTCAACCTTAACCTGGCTCCTTTTTTTTCAGGTTGAACGCGGGTTAAGTCGGGTTGTCTCATTTTGCCAACCTGACACCCTCTCAACTGCCACCCAGGCGTGATAAAAGGGTGAGGACTCAAAAAGTGGTAAAGTAACACACAACTTACGTATTGTGTATTGGCTAATCACTAGAACCCAGGTTACAGCTAGTTGTTAGCATTACTCGACTGAACATTGACTAAGGAGAAGATCACGCTATTTCTATACATGTCTCATGTATGATTTTAAATGTCTGAACCTCCTAAGAAGATACTTTTAATTTTTTTTTAAAAAGGAACAAGCGAGTAATTTATTTTATCTACGTGTATGGTGTTCAGAGCTGAACAAATAATGTATAGAAAATAAAAGAAGGGGGGGGGGGGGGGGGGCTGTACACCTCTGGAGGTGATGAATGCTCTTGGAGCTAAAGAATATAATGTAATGAAGATAATCTCTAGTGGGATACTGTTTTAATATAAATAAGGCTCTCAAGGACGATTATGGTGTGATAGTAAATGACCTTAGAGCAATAATCTCACAGGTGATGATCGTGGGTGAGAGAATGGTTGTGCAACCGGATTGATGGACTCATATCGTCCGGGCACCGTCCAGAATCCTAATGTAACAAAAGCATTAAAATAACTAAAGACATAATTAAATTAAACACGCAATATCCAAAGGGAGTTGGAGTTGAAGCCTTGCCATGCTAATGTTTTCTGCAAGGGGAACAAGTCATTTAAACTATCAAAGTATTTTGTATTCAGCGAAAGCAATAAGTTTTCTCTCCCACTTCGCTGCAAAGAAAATACAAATACAAACATGAACAATCTTTCTTTTAAAGGTTATACACTGTTTTATAACATCTATATATTAATGTGTGATGCAGGATTCAAAATTTCCCATTGCGCTATTTACGAACTTCATTTAAAACCTAACAAATTGAAGGTTAAGATACTAAACAACTATTAAACTGTGATCGTAAAAAATAAATATTAGAAGGGTACTCCAAAAATATAACAAAAAAAAATATATCAGAAACTAAAACTAATCAAGATTGAACATAAGAGATGAGTGAGGTAAAGCGAGTTTTTTCTTTTTGCATTTATGTATGTTTTTACTTTGGGATTGTTGGATCAAGAGCCAACCCAGTTGCAATGTCGCTGTCACGAAGACGCAAGCTCTCAATATAATTTCTAACCTCGTCTGCTATCATGCGCTGCATTATCTTCTTCAAGTCTGCGTGTTCCGCCTTCTTAACATTGGCTTCAACTTCTTCCTCTTTTTCCTCTTCTTGTTCCTCTATCTTCTCCCCTGGCGGAAACAGGCTCAACGACGTCGTCACGCGACCCCCCATTCGCTCTTCTTCAATTGGGTCGTCGTCGCAGTCACCGGAATCTTCATCCTCCGTCGAAACCGCTTCAATGCACGGCCTCTTGAAAGGGTAGCGCGGATCCAGCAAGCCGTCGTAGGTATCGAGGAGAAGGGCATCATACGCGCCAGGGGAGCGCTTCCTTATAGAGAACACAGGGGTCGACTCCGACGAGGCGGAGGCGGGGGATGTCTCCGCCATCCCACGGCGGCGGAGCGTGGAGTTCCAGTGGTTCTTGATGGCGTTGTCTGTGCGGCCGGGGAGGAGACGGGAGATCGTGGCCCACTTGTTTCCGTGGACGGCGTGGGCGTTGATGATGATCTTGTCCTCTGCGGGGGTGAATGGCCGGTGCTGAACGTCGGGGCTGAGCTGGTTGCACCACCGGAGACGGCAAGACTTGCCGGAGCGGCCAGGGATGCCGCCGCTGATGACGGACCAGTTGCGAGGGCCGTGCTGGGCTACCAACCTCAATAGTGTTGCATCCTCTTGGGGGCTCCAAGAACCCTTGCGATCGCAGGCGGCGGCGGCGACGGCGTTTGAGTTGTAGTTGGCACTGGTCATTGTCCCCTCTACCTGTTTGTGAAAATGCCAGAGAAATGTTGGTATGTGATATGGCTCTGTTTTCTGTTTATCTCATAAAAGAATGAAAAGAAGAGAAAATTAAAGGTAACGGAAACAAGATCACGGAGAGGAGAGAAGAAGAGAAGAGTTATAGTTGGCATGAACCTTAAAACCGCTCTTTGTACATAACCACTTGGACTACCTCTGGTTCTAACGTGTTTGTTTCTGTTGCTCAACTTCCTTTTTCTTCTTCTTCTTCTTCAATTTTTTCCTTTTTTTCTTTTTTTCTTTTCCAATAATATTTGGGCGTTTTTGGTTTGGATTTAGGTAGGTGGAAGTTT